ATCTGTAGGGTCCACGTCGCAATATTTTGTGATGCGTCCTTGAATGAAAACCAAGGAAATATCTATATATAAATATCTTTTTGTTTCCCGCGAGTCGCGACTGTGATAGTGAAACAGTGTCGGTTTAGTAAGCACCGACAATGTGCTTTTAATGGTTTTCCTTACTAGTAGTACTAGTGTTCCGTGGTTGTCAAATTTGTAGATAAACTTTGGAATTAAGTTTAGGGTAACAAAATTGGACTTAAGTGCACCAAAATTTTATTTCAATGTAGATCTTGGAAAGAGCGATAGTTCACTAAGTCCATGAGATTTCAAGTACATCACGAAACAATGCAGATTCCATGCATCAGAAGATTATGTTATAAACGTAATAACTTGGATTCCTTAATCAAATTTTCTTAAAAATATTATTGAATATTCATCTTGTACATATATATTTACCTTCTCCAATGTCACTGTCGATGGTAAATATTGATACTAATATATATCATGATTAAAAATAAATTGTTTATTTATTTTAATCAGCAAAAGAATTGTTTAGTGTTATTGTGGTCTTGTGGAGTACTTCATATAGAATGGTGCCTTTGATTAAAGTAGCTTGCGAGATGCTACGGGTATATAATCTGATTTTTGACACTGAATGAATGCCTTCATGAGATTATACTAGTATTTGTGAGCATGGATCTATGTGATATTGTGTTGTGAGTTTTTATATATGTTGAATTGTTTTACTCAGGTTTTCAAGTGTGTCACTCTCTTGGAGGTGGCACGGGTTCTGGTATGGGAACACTCTTGATATCGAAGATCAGGGAGGAGTACCCGGACAGGATGATGCTCACTTTCTCTGTTTTTCCTTCTCCAAAGGTCTCTGACACGGTTGTGGAGCCCTACAATGCTACTTTATCAGTGCACCAACTAGTAGAGAATGCAGATGAGTGCATGGTTCTTGACAACGAAGCACTCTATGACATTTGCTTCAGAACCTTAAAACTCACCACTCCTAGTTGTAAGTACCCCACTTCACTTTCCACTCGGATCAAGCATTTATACATTCAGCAATTAGCTAAAAACCCAGTAATTAGTTAGGCACTTAACCAATAATAACTTGGTTAATTTTGTGATTTATAATTGCAGTTGGTGATCTGAACCACCTGATATCTGCAACCATGAGTGGTGTGACATGTTGCTTGAGGTTCCCTGGACAACTAAACTCTGATCTGAGGAAGCTAGCTGTGAATCTGATCCCATTCCCACGTCTCCACTTCTTCATGGTGGGGTTTGCACCTCTCACCTCACGTGGCTCTCAGCAGTACGTGTCCCTCACTGTCCCCGAACTCACCCAGCAAATGTGGGACGCCAAGAACATGATGTGCGCCGCCGATCCCCGCCACGGCCGTTACTTAACGGCGTCGGCGATGTTCAGGGGAAAGATGAGCACCAAAGAGGTGGACGAACAGATGATCAACGTGCAGAACAAGAACTCATCGTACTTTGTCGAGTGGATTCCCAACAACGTGAAGTCAAGCGTGTGCGACATCCCTCCCAGGAATCTGAAGATGTCGTGCACTTTCATCGGTAACTCGACCTCAATTCAGGAAATGTTCAGAAGAGTGAGTGAGCAGTTCACTGCAATGTACAGGCGCAAGGCCTTCTTGCACTGGTACACTGGTGAAGGAATGGACGAGATGGAGTTCACTGAGGCAGAGAGCAACATGAACGATTTGGTGGCAGAGTACCAGCAATATCAGGACGCAACGGCTGAAGAGGATGAGTACGATGAGGGGGAGGACGAGGAGCATGTTTACGAGGAGCAGTAGTTGAATCTCCACCAACTTTCGTAATCGGTTTTTCTGTCCACGTACGTTCTTGGTTTACTACATTTGTTGCTAGTCATGTATCTACGCCTATTTGTACTAGTTCCATTCTCCTTATATTTTCGTCTCCCTTTCTGAGTTCTAAGCCTATTACTTTTGAATTGTTTTCTATGTGCCTTGCAGACCATATTATTGATTGTTCTATACTTTGTGTAAGTGTATGAATAAGAAAAGGTTGACTTCTAGAATTCTATATTTGGTCGGGTAAGGCTTGCACGTGAGATACCATCAAGGCGTGTCTTTTATTTGGTTTAATTATTCATTTTTCTTTCCTCTTGTTTTCGAAACTAGAAAACGGGAAGAGAGCAAAGGAACTATATATGTCTAACCTCCGCAAAATGCGATAGTTTAAGTAAAGTCTATTAAATCATTAGATCAATTTAGTTATTTATATAATATAATAAAAAGTTAATATATATATATATATTATACTATAATAATAATATAATTAAATAAATAAATTTTAATACAAAATTAAATTATTAATATTATTAATAATTTAATATATGCATTAATTTACTATATTATATTATATTTTTATTTTTTATTTTTTAGAATTAAATTTTAGTAATAAGTCACTTTTTTTTTATTATGCTAATTAAAAAGAAACTCGTTCACATATTTAAAATTAACTTTTTCATTATAACGATTCAACAAGTTACTACATGTACTACTGAACAATTATTACGTAGTGGAAGAGTAAGCAATATGTATCAACGTAAGAGTTTATAATATTGCCTATAACTAATACCCTATGAATAGAGGTCATATACAAAATATAGTACTAAGAGTAAAATAATTTAAATGTTGATCCACGTTTATACAAAATCTGACTACATAGGAGTAACTAACATACAACAACCAAAATTAGCCACCTCTAGTATAACTATCCTCCAACTGCATAAACTATCCTGCTAATTTTGTCTTACTTTCATATCAAGTATGGTCATCGTAGTTCTAACCACAAGAAAAATACAGGGTAAGCTTGTGAAAAGAAATCAACATAATAGCTTATAAAGAACATCCTCATAGCAAATATATATAACTTACAACAAAACAACATCAATGACAGCTAAACATCTCATAACATGTATAACATATCAACATATTCATCATATCCAATGTGTTGTCACACATGTCAACTACGAAGATCTCTTACATCTTAAGATGAGTAATTTAAGTGGTTTGACCTTATTGGATCATAACATGTTGATATGTTACCAGAAGCAACAACTAACATTGAGGTTAGAAACAACAACTAACATAAGTCAGATTGATTTCTCAGGTTTTGTCATTCTAATAAGGAAGTATGATACTATGTTAGGGTAGAAGAATTTGGGTATGGGTCTATCACGAAATTAGCTTGCAAATTTAAGTCACCTATGAGAAATCTTTCGATACTTTACTCTCCAAATACCACAATCTTCCAATACTATGTTAGAGACTAAGTCCCCAACCCAATACTTTACTTGATTGGTCGCCTTATACATGTGTACCTCAACCTTACAAACATGAATACCACATAGAACCTAGAAGAGACAACCGAAAACAATGTACCCATTCAAAACCCAATTTGCTTACTGAAGAGTTCGACACAACGTATATCCTCACAATGAGATATTAAGTTCAAAAAAACCTTTAACTCTTCTCTAATTTCTATGTATCGTAGCTAAAACATGTATGTAACCTACATATCCATAACTTATCAACTTAATAACTTTATCAACTTCAACATTCAATTTATCAACTTTAACATCATACAACATATACAACATTCAATTTTCAACCTTACAACATATCAACTTAAAACAACCTAAACATCGTACATCTCTACAACATAAGCAACTTGATAGAACAAAAACACAAATCAAACCAAACAACATAAAAAAAACTCACAACTTCATATCTTGTTCAACTTACTACTTATCAACTCATATATCATCTTACATCATCATTCATACGACTACGTCATCATAAATCAACTACTAAACAACTTAAACAATCTACTTTACATCACACCACTCATTCACCATTATTAGACTTTTAAACAACATTAAATAACAACTTCTCATCATACAACTTGTGTTCGACATCACTCATTTGGTGCCCGATGCCACTGAGGCAAGGAGTTCCCTGTCTCACCCAGGCTTGACATCGGACCATCCGTGCCCGATGTGATTGAGGTAGAAAGTGCCCCTAAGTCTCACACTTGGCATGGAGAAACCCACGTTTAACCTCAATCACGTAGAGTTCTTTCTGCCTAACTCTCACACGACACCACTCCACTATCGCCTAACACGAATCCAAACAAAGATTAGCCTCTCATCTCATGTCTAGTGTCATTCAACCCACGCCTAGTGTGATTCCAACCTGAGGCAAGTATCTCTCATAACACTCGGCACCATCAATCTTGTGCCCAATGTAAGTGAGACATAGATCTCTCTTTGGGGCCACACATGACACCTTGAAGGAGCACCCAACATGATATCAGGTTTTGCACATCTATATAATCCAATTTTGCCTAATCTATCTAAAATTCAGCAATCCCGACAACATGCAATGTAGTCAACATCCTATATACAACATATACAACACAATTTCATCATTAGAAACAACATGCAACAAAGCATTTAACAAGAAACAACTCAATTTATCACACTTCTCTTCAAAACCATGAAACTCTCTCAACGTCATCTTTTAAATCACTGAACACCTTCAACCAACTCATTCCAATCATCACAACCATAGAATGCACACCAAAAATTTGAAATCATAGCTTCCATACTGCTCAAAGAAAATCCCCAAGGAAGAGAAGGGGAAGAAATGACTTCGCACACCATTAGCTTAAAATTTTGACCCTAGAGCTCAGATTCTTCACTACCTCTTACTAGAATCGGCTAAGAAAATGGTAGGAAAGGAAGGTTCTTAGTGAAATGAAGAAAAAAGAAAGGAGAAGGGAGAGATAATTCTCTCTCTATCTTCTTTTTAAAGTTCTTGGAAAACTTGAATTGTGAGCTTTTTTTGTGAAAAAATTTCTTTAATACATTTTAAGCAGACTCCTTTTATCTCTGGTCCAACCCTCTAAAGAACAATGTACTCTTAGGGTCTCTCGACTCCAAAGCTCTCAATAACAATTGTCAAATCAAATAATAGGATCATGAGATGACAATATTATATTCATCTTATCTAACTTTATTAATATAAATTGAATTTTTAAATAGACTAATAGGTCTGATAATTTTTTTCAAAAAAGTTATTCCAAACGTACAAAAGAAAAAGTATATGATAAATAATAATAAATTAAACTTAGGTCTTAATTTTTTAATAGAAATTAGACTTATACATTCAAATTACTCTAATTTATGTTTTATTATAAATATATTTTAAAATACTTTTTGTATAAATATATGTTTAAAGCACCACAAGAAAATTCGAGATTACAGGCGGCCAGAAACCATGAGTAATCCCAAAAATCCGTGGGTAATAGTTCATTTTCGACGGATTACCGACGGACAACAATCCGTCGGTAAATTACTCGTCTGAAATATTTACCGACGGATTATAATCCGTGGGTAACTTTCCGACATATTTTCCCACAGATTTATCCGTGGGTAATTTCCCACGGATTCGTTCGTGGGAAATTATCAACGGATTCATCCGTGGAAAATTACCCACGGATTCGTCCGTGGGAAATTACCCACGGATAAATCCGTGGGAAATTACCCATGGATTCGTCCGTGAGAAATTACCCACGGATAAATCCGTGGGAAATTCTGTGGGAAATTATATTTTTTTTAAAAAAATTCAAAATTGTATTAAATAATTATCCTATTTAAAGATATTAAATCAATCATAATTATATAAATCAAAACAAGTTCATTCATACAAAATAAAATGTCATACATAACAAATAAAGTTTAGGAGTTCAAATTTAAAAACAACATATAGTACGATCAGTAAAATTATAACATAATGTCTAATAATCTGAATATCCAGGTGAATGTTGTTGATGTCGGTCATTAGCTTGTTCATCCTCTGATGGTTGCCGATTGTCTTGTTGTTGGTCTTGTTGGTATCTGTTTGGTTGTTGATGTTGATGTTGATGTTGCCGATTGTCTTGTTGTTGGTCTTGTTGGTGTCTGTTTGGTTGTTGATGTTGATGTTGTTGTTGTTGAAAAGTAGTTTGCATAGTAGGTGGTAGGAGTGAGAGTATAGCATTGAGAAATGTGTTGAATTAAGTATGATAAAAGACATTGACTCAAATCCTGAAGACATTGAGAAAAAAAAAATGGTGATTTGAGGGGTTTAAATAAATAAAAAAATTAATTTTTCTTAATTTCAAAATTAGACTTATGGGTTAAAAAGATTTGATGAGTCAAAATCATATAATTTAACTAAAAATATTATAAAACCTGAAATTAAAAAGAGATAAAAAAAAACTTATTTTTGGATTTACAATTTATGGTGCAGTTATTTTTGGAACCAGGTCTGTATCCGTAGAACTAAACAAACACGTCGAGTCCTTGATGAAAAAAAATAACACGTCGAGCCTAAATAAAGCTGAAGCAAATTTTAAAACGCATATTCTGCTTGTTAATAGCAGGTAGTACTTCAAACAAACCATCAAAAAACTAAAATCAATATTTTGAGAATGATTTATCAAATTAAAACCCAAGAAAATGTAATTTATACTAATTTATAAAAGATACCCCTTTTGGTAATTACATTTGTAGACCATCATACTCTTTTATTATTAAATAAAATAAAAAATCAATAATTGTTAAATGGCTTAAGCATTATTATTATTAGTCTTTTTTATTTCTACTTTTATTTAAATTTTATATTTTGAGAAATATTCATAAATACTCGTCACAATTGTTAAATGGGTTACCTCGTCCCATTATGACAATGCCTATAAAGCATTTTAGATCAATCTAACCTAAATTTCTTACAATTTACTTATTTTGTAGTGTTATCTATTCTGTTGACCTATTAGATCAAGTCAAGTTGACTTTTCTTATTTTATTTTCTATATTTATTCTCAATTTATAAAGAAAAATAAAAAATAAAATCAAGTAGATTTTGGATCATATTAGTCCACTATGTCCTAAGACTTTTGTTAAATACATCTCTCTATATCAATAATACATCTTCGTTAATTTTTTCTTCCAAAATTTTCTTACAATTTATTAA